GGGGAGGGGGTGTAACAGAGTTTGGAGTGGAGCCTATGGAAAGTGGAGAGCCAGCAGCTGTTTCTTAAGGCCTGTGGCAGCTGCCCAGAGAAGTGGCAGGAAGCAGGGGGACCAGACGCATGCCCACACACAAGGGGCAAGCGGAGGAACCTGTAAAAATGCCCCCTGTGTGCATGGTTTTGCTCCAGGTGTCCTCCCACATGAGTCTACAGCAGTCACTGCTCTGGGCTCTCCCCATATTCACTTTGCCTTCTGCACACCCCCTGCTGGGGATAGAGCCTGAAACCTGGGCTTGTGCCCTGACCGGGAATCAAACCGTGACCTCCTGGTTCATAGGTCAACACTCAACCGCTGGGATGCACTCGCCAGGCTCACAAGTCCTTTGTCTCATAAGTATTTGCAAAAATTTTGTTGAGCAAATGCTTCTGATTTTGATGAAGTCCAATTATCAATATTTCTTATGATTTGTGTTTCTGTATCCTGCCTAAGAAATCTGCCCATTGTCACAAAGGTTTTCTTCCAGAAGATTTATGATTTTAGCTTTTACATTTAGATCTCCAACCCATTTTGAATTTATTCATTTGTATGTGTGGTATGAGGCAGGGATTAACTCACTTTTTCCCCAGCATGGATGTGTCTAATTGTTTCAGCATCATTTGTTGAAAACACTGTCTTTTCTCCCATGGAATTATGTTGGTACTTTGTCAAAAGTCAATTGGCCATGTATGCACTTGCTCACTTCTGTGCTGTTTTGTTCTGCTGATCTATCTGTTCGTCTTCTTGCCTGTATCATCCTGTCTTAACTGCTTACTTGCTGTTATAATAAGACTGCAGTAGGTCGTGAAATCAGGTAATGTTAAGTCCTCCAATTTTGTTCTTTTTTCAAAATTATTTTGGCTATTTTAGTCTTTTGCATTGCTATACACATTTTAGAATCAGCTTGTCAATTTATACCAAAAAAAAAAAAATTGCTTTCTGAGATTTTGGGGGGGATTAAGCTGACACTACAGGACAATTTGGGGAAAAGAGGCATCTTAATATTGAGTCTTCTGATCCATCGGCATAGTCTTTCTCTCCATTTATTCAGGTCTTTGTTAATTTCACTCACCAATGTTTAGTATTTTCAGTGTACAGATCTTGAACATATTTTGTTAAACTTATGCCTACTTATTTCATGTTTTTAAAATGCTACTGTAAATAGCACTTTAAAGATTTCCATTTCCAATTGTTTGTTGCTACTGTTATCAGTGGGGAGAGGTCCTAATCCCCACATGTTGCTCATGGGGTGGATTTCTTGCAATATCCTGAGAAAAGGAATTTTCTGTGACTTGCACAGGAGGATGAGCTATCATAGAAAGCTTTATTTCTGTGGAATTAAATCCCTGAGTTTCCAAGGTTTCATTTCCCTTAGTCCTGCCAAGGAGGAAGTGTAGCTGGGACTTTAGCAGAACGAAAATCAGAGCCAATGTCCAGAGTTTCCATTCCATGTTGGAGCCAAGTCCAGTCCAACATCAGGTCAGCTTAGTCTGTGTTTTCCCAGTTGTAGCCCATAAGTGCACTGAGTGTGGGGTCTGTGTAGCCATGGACCATACTGGGTGTTTGCAAGAGAGCCAAGAGCCAAGAGCCAAGAGCAACAAGGGAGTGAACTCCTTTGTTTAGGGGGTTATGTATTCCCACATTCACTTGGCCTTGCTGTGGTTGTGCCCATTCTGGGAAGTGATCCGTTCCCAGGTGTGACTGACAGACACCTTCCCTAGTCACCCCAACTTCACTGCACGTGTGTCTATCTCCCCTTTGTTGGTTCCCTTCCCCCAGTGATCTG